GCCCTAGGAAATCTCATTAAAGAAATCCCTGCCTGTGGAACACATTTCTAAAGGACAAAGCTGCTCAGAGCAGAAGGCAAGGTCATGGGCGCACTCCTCTCCAGGAGAGGTTAACCAAAGGGATGCCACTTTTGCAGGCTGCCATCAGAATAAAGCCTTTCTGTTGGAGGAGGCGAGAGGCACACAGACATCAGGTCAGGGCAAACACACAAGGATTCTTCTGGAAGGTTTCTCCTATTATGCAGCTTTGTTAGCAAGTAGGGCAGGGTTTCTGTTTGTGCTTCCCTGGAGTAGGAACATTATCAGGGAAGGCGCTTGCTTGAGCAGCCCTGAGCTCACTGCTCTGAGACTGGAGAGCTCGCCCCACTGACGCACGGTTTTGCAGGGGCTTGTTCAAGAGCTTTTAATCCCTCCACTGATGCCACTTATAGCTTTAATCAGCTTGAATGTTCATTTGGCATCAGCAGGATGTGAACCAGCAGCCCATGGAGCCCTCACCCAGCACACAAGATGACACCAATGTGTGGGTCACAGAGGGGCAGTGGCAGTGGGGTCTGCCTGGCAGAGAGGACTCAGTGCAGAGGAGGGAGAGAAAACCCAGCAGCTCCTGGTGTTAACCATGTCATCTGCCCCTGTGTGGGAACACAGAGTGCAAGGGAACAGAGCTGAATGCCTGATTTATCTCCTGAGCCTTCCCTCATGCTCTGTACCTATACTTGTGATGCATTCCTTGGGTGCATCCTTAAATCCAACTGCAGTCACCTCCCCCAGAAGGCAAAGCAGAGATGACAGCAAGCAAACACAAACACCAATACAATTGGCCAGAGCTGACATGGTCCAGGTCACCCTCAGGGCTTCATTTCACCCCAGGGAGAATCAACACTGTCCAGAAGGGTGTCACCGCTCCATGGGGTGGTCCCTGCGATGCTGCATTCACTGCTATGGCTAAGAGGAACTGACCTTGCTTTTACTGTCCTGTGGCTTTTGTCCATGCCAAGATCCACAAACCACACTGAAAACAGTCCAGAGTCAAAACCAACATTGTTTTAGGAATGAAATTACTGTCCTTTAACAGGCCAGTGAGTAAAACTTGAGCTGAGTGATACTACCAGCCAAGATCTAACTTGATGCAGCAGTCCCTGCTCACTGACAGCTCTCAGAGCTGCTGCTGTGTCCCTGATCCCTGTCCTTCCTTCAGCTCTGAAATTCCACAGGGCAGCAGTTTATCAGCAGTGCTGGGGGTGGCTGGGCACAGCACCAGAGAGCTCTGGCCAGGGTAGACACCATCATGCAGGGTGAGCAGATAAGCTTGTTCAGCATCAGCTCCTGGTGCACATGTAAAATGCAAAGAGCAGAACAATGCAAATACAAACAGCCACTTTCAGCTGAAACTAGAATAATCAAACCCAGTGAGAGAGGAGTGCTGGAGAGAACCAGACTGGCCACAGCTATTGAACACCTTCCTGCTCATGACAGCCCCTGAGATGCTGCAGCCTGCACAGATTCTTGCCATTCATCTTGAGCATCCACCCAAAATCAGACCAACTGTTTTATCCACAGTGAAAATAACATGGAATACAAACCTACCAGAACAACCTGCCTCTACACTGATCATAACCATTGCAGTTTGATGTCCTGTGTCTATCAAAACTGCAAAGTTTCTTAAACACATAACTGTCAGTGGTGGGTGATGCTGTACTCACCCTTTGTGTTTCTGTGGCCAAGGCCCCTATGTCACTGCAGGGAGCAACAAAAGGCCACACTGACACTGTACCTTTTTCCTCTACAACCTGTCTAAAGGCTGCGCAAAGCCACCCCACCAGAGGATCCCACCAGAGCAGCATCTCTGGGAGGCCCCTCACCATCCCCAGGGAATCTGGAGGGCAACTACAAAAGTGGTTTAAAAGAAAGATGTTCACACTGCAGGAAAGGAGAATCATTCCAGCTTTCCAGTACTGGGAAGGAAGGGTGAAATACTCCCCAGTGGGCAGTGCAGTTAGTGCTGGGCTATCACAGAAAGAGACCCATCAGCAGATACCCAGCACAACCCAGCCACTCCCTAATTGTACTAGAAAGGCTTTTGTCCTCTTTGCCCAAAAGGCAGCTTTTGCCAACTCTAGAGAGCTGTAGATAAACTTGGCTTTATCTAAACATTTGCAGAAGGTAGGGAAGAAGTGTTCAAATGAAAAAAAGAATACCTTGGTTTTTCCCACAGAAATGCTGCCCATCTCTGCTGGAACTATTTGCATCAGTGCTACTAGCAGTGGGAAAAGCACGGAGATAATGAGTTATCTCCACCTCAGGCAGCCCGGTGCCCAGCATAAACCAAGCAAAAAACACCTTCCTTTCTGAGAACTGACATTTCCTATCTGCATTTTGGAAGGGTAACAGAGCATGAAGCTCTCAGGTGCGTGCAGCATCCGTGGCAGAGATGAAGCCGAAGCTGCTGAGACATGAAGCAAAATCTGAAGAGGTCAGTGGCATAGCAAAGAATAAGCAAAAATCCGATTGCCTGGGTCAGGAAGGGTTACAGTTTTCCAGGTTATGACATGAACCAAGGCTGAGCAGGTCTGAACTGTCCTGGGGAAGAACCTGCTGCATGACCCAGCACAGCAAAGCTACACGCCAGTGCCACAAATAAGTTGGAAGAGGTTACGTGAGCTTCTCGGTCAACTAAAATTACCTGAGAGCAGAATTCAGGCTCTGCTCTAAATCCCATTTTAAGCTTCTCAAGCAGGTTTCCAATTTAAGATTTGCATTTAATAGCAGCCAGAAGAAGGCTGATTTGAATACACAAGTACACCAGGAAAACCTACAGCAAAGTGCACCATATATATACTCTGGCTGCCCCACGAGTGAGGCAGAGGAACACTCTGGGTTTGCAGGGACATATGGCTGGTGCTGGGCTCTATCTGGGCCAGGCAGCCACGCTCCATGTGCCAGGTTGGGTTATGTAAGAGCATCCCTGGCTGCTGCAGCTGTGTCACCACGGAGCCATCGGTGCAGACTCACGGATGGACTGGGGTGGACTGGAGGGGGGGGCTGCAGAAGGCAGCTGGGTTTGAGCAAACAGCCGCGGGGTAGGACTGTCCCCTCGGTGTTTGTTATCCCTTCATGTACTATTCCGCAGATCTGCGCAGGATGAATTTCCCCCGAGGGCAGGGGCCGGTTGCATAACGCAGCAGCATCGTGTCAGCACAGAGTCAGCACCGAGCCAGGGCAGATGGCAGAGCCCGGCCTGACCCTCCACGTGCGCGGCAGAGCTGCTCCCACAGCCCCACGCCTCGCCCCGGGGCACGGTGTCTGCCCCGGCACACCCATCTTAAGGGCTCTCATTTCCACAGATTCACTCCCCCACCCTAATCCCCAGCCCACACTTGCACTGGGACCAGTATCCAGCCCCAGGCAGCAATGCTTGAATCAGTTACTCGCACTTGAGAGGGGTGGTAAATATTTTGTGGGTGGAAGAGTGCCCAGGGGATGGCCTGCGGACCAGTTTGGACAAACCAACAGAGAAGAACAAGACCCACCCAATGGGTTTTTTCATTTCCATCCCTATTTCTCTACAAACAGCACAGAGTGTACCTGGGCACACAGAGAGAGGCATTTTCCATAAACTCAGGAACCCTCAGGTGGCAGCAATGAGGGGATTTAGCAAAACCTGCCAAAATACCTCCACCTTCCCCACTGCTGCTGGGGGCTTGCTCCCAGAGCTGGACAGGCACACAGCCATCAGCTGAGGGCTGGTGCATGCTGGCCAGGGACATAATTTCCTCCCTCTTGGCCCTCTTGCATCCATGGTCAGCTCCAGTCCAGCTGGCTGTGTGTGGTTTTGGGGTGAGGTGAGGGCTGGGCCCAAGCTGTGATGCCAGCACCTGACACAGGCAGGCTGTCAAAGAACTCCTGGGACCAGTGATGGGCAGGCAGCTCTGCAGGAGCCTGAGAAAGGATGTGGGCTGGTAAGATGTCAGCCTCACCCCTGGTAATCTGTAATTCTTCAGTTTCATTGAAATGTTTGGCTGGGAGAATCCCTAGTAACAGCTTCTGTTTACAGACAGCTTTGCCATGTAGGCAACACCTCCCAGTCCTTCTGTGTCACTGGTGAGGGACACTGCCAGCTAAGCCACAACCCTTGGGTCCTTCCAGACCATGTGTGACCACCCAGGCCTCAAGATCAGGACTTCTGAGCTTCAGAATGTTTAGTGTAGGGGGGAGAAGGAAGGGGACTCTGGACAGAGATGAGCTCAATCTGAGCAGAGCTGTTTTTAAGCTTCCTTCCTTAGCAGACACAGGTCTACAAACACAGATGCTGGAGACCAAAGCATCTCCTGGGTCTGGGCACTGACGTTCACACCAAAGGGAAGTCCTGCCTTTAATAAGGAAATGAAACAGAGCCACAGGATGGACCCATGTGCCTCATAGGTGAAAGCAAAGAGTTCTGTGCCAAGACAGATGTGCCACTTGGGGCTACTCACTGAGCCAGCTGGGCCCCGAGGTGTCCTGTCCAAGTGTCACAGGGGAGGGGGATGGTGCTAGACAGGGAGCTCCAGCACAGACTGTGAAAATTACATCACACAGCAGAGGAGGCAGAACTGGCAGATCCCTCCCTGACCCTGAGAGAGACAGATGTCACCAAAGCTTATACCAAGTGCTTGCAGGTGTCTCTGCTGTGCTCCAGCCTGTCTAAGCCATCAGCCAGGACCTCTGAGGAGCAAGGCTCCTGCCCAGCCCTTCCAGCTCCACTGGGCCCTTGGGCAGTGACAGGATGTGCAGCTGCTAATTCTATTTCTCACCTCTACTTTATTTTTGCAGTAGAATAGGTGAAAACAACCTCAGAAGCAGTGCTCTGATGAGTCACTATAGAAATAGCTCTAAGAACATAAAAGACTCCTTTGTGTCACTACAAAGTGCACTATTGGGCCAGTACAGGCGACAGAAATAAGACAAAAAATGCGAATCACTTACCCAGCTGCAAAGCACAGCGGTGCCCTGCCCTGAATTTAAGCAGCACATGTAACCTGGTCCATTCTGGTTTCAAGCTCAAAGGCATCAGGTCGATCCTGTGGGTTAGCAGCCAACATGTCTTTCAAGAGCTGCTTGATCCCCTCAGACATGGAAGTCCTGCGTTTCTGAGGGATGTGCAGCTCCATCTTTGGGTTTTCTAGCAGCGCTTCCCCGACGGGCACAATCTCGGTCCCCTGCTTGATGTACGTCCCCAGCAGCTCCTTCTTGGTCTCAGCATCAATGAAGGTGATCCTCTCAATCATGGCCCAGATGATGATGCCGAGGGCGAAGATGTCAGCCTTGGCAGTGTAGTGTCCCTCCCACACCTCGGGTGCCATGTAGAAATCAGAGCCACAGGCTGAGGACAGCCAGTACTTGTTCACATTCACATTTTTGTTCTCATGCGCACCCTCCTTGCCCCGAGCAGTCAGGCCAGCACAGACCTTGCTCAGCCCAAAGTCAGCCACCTTGAGCACAGGGGTGCCAGATTTCTCAGTTATCAGGATGTTGTCTGGCTTCAGGTCCCGGTGGACAATGTGGTTCTTGTGCAGGAAGGCAATGGCACTGGTCAGCTGCAGCATGAAGCTCTTGTTGGTGGCAGGGTCGGGCCTTCGGGACAGCACGTACTGGTTGAGGTCTCCCCCTTCACAGAACTCCATGACAAACCACAGGTAGCAAGGCTCCTCTGCATAGCCCAGGATCCTCTCACCTGACCAAAAGGGATAAAAGAGTGGGTTTTTCAGACACATTTTAAAGTCCACACTAAGCCAGGATGGCTGAGGAACAGGTCTGGTTTATGTGGATAACAAAAATTTTGGGAATGTGACTGGGACCTATTGCACTGCAGGGCACCAGCAGTGATGCTGCCACTGCTGTGGCTTCAAGTGCTTTGGGATCCTGTTGAGCAGGACACACCAGCACCATGTTTACCCAAACCCACTGCTGGGAACCAGCTCAGGGACCTCCTCCTCCCAGCAAAGTGCAGAGAACACATCTTCAGTCCTACCAGCAGGCCATTCTCCCCAGGCTCTGACAGCCAAAGCAGCAGAGGCTAAAAGCATAATTAGCACTGAGTCTACAGGAAAAAAAAAAATCACTTCTGTGAATGCCTCCTCTCCCACCTCAGCTCTGCTGCAGGAGGCAAAGGCTGGCTCATTGCATACACTTTACTGGAACTGCACACAGGGAGTAGATCACAGTCCTTGACACTGCCAGCACAGACCTGCCAAGAGTGGTCACACCAGTGTCCAAGCCCTATGGCCCACTGGGTCTTCCCAGAACAAATCTGTGCATTTAAAGATTGCATTTGTGCTGGGGAAACTCTGCCACTTCATCCAGCTTTCATTAAGTGCCAACAAGTCTTTAATGAGAGGAAACTGGAGGGCCAAGCTGCAAAATCTTTGCTGAGTGTAATCTCAGCCACATTTGTGACTGTAAATACTCCTACTACTCAGTATTACACCCCAAACAGCTTCTTCCTTCACCAGACATCAAACTGAGCTCCTCAAGCTCAGAGCATCTCAGGCTTTACTCCATAAAACTCCTGCCTAAGGAAGGACTCTCTTGCACATCAATTAGACATGTGAAGAACACAACAGCCTCATATCAGCTAATGGGGCCAAGTCTGCCACTGGTGCTCCCCAGGGATGCCAGGATGCCCCAGGGAGTATTGGCAACAGACCCATCCCCATTAGCTGATGCCAGGAATGCAAGCCCCGGGGTCAGACCCCAAATCTCCTCCAGAGAGCACCCAGGTGATTGGCAGAGCCTGCACACACCACCAGAGCATCATTTTGCTCTAGAAATTGATTTTCTTATCATCAAGCACCATAAGAGAGAAGCTGGAGGATACCACTCACCTCTGCGACAGCTAAAAAGTCCCACAGCTGAACTCAAGTGTTTTTGAAAGCAGTTAAATAACTCCACCCATTTGACAAAGTTGGGTTTTGTTTGAGCAAAGCCCTAGAGAGCATCTGGGAAAGCAAAAAACTTCCAGCAGCAGGTAAAGCCAAGGACTACCAGGGCCACCCAGCCCTGGGCTGCACTGGTCAGCAGTCAGTGTGGGTGGGAATATTGGTTATTTGCACAAACAGTCTGTATCCATGGCTACTGCTATGGAAATGGAAATCTGCACAACAGAAGCATTTGGCTGCACCTCCCCATCCTCAGCAATCTTCTGCTGAGATTAGGTTTGAAGGTTAGGTCTAGGGGATGAAAGAACAGGGTGGAGTTACACAGGGTACTGGGTGCACTCTGGGGGTCTCATCTGGCTGGAAGGAGGCTCACCATGAAAGCCCAAGGACCAGCTGGGAGCAGCACAGGACAGCTTGGCTCTGGAGACCAAAATGCTGACCAGGAAAAGCAGCTTCTCTGGTGCAAGCCACCTTTGACATGACAGCATGGGAGCAGAGACCCCAGCACAGCCAGGACAGCCCCAGCTCACACAGCTGCCATCACTTTGATTTGTTAAATCCCAATGACATCACAGCAGGACACAGGGTTTGGCTTTCCTGCTCCTCTCTGCAGCCATACAGCCCCAACACAGGGAGCAGGAGTGTCTGTCCCTTCTCTGCCAGGAATCAAACCATGACAGGGAGCATGGCAGAGCCCCACATCCCTCACACACAGCCAGGTGGGAGCATCCACACAGCACTGCTGGCAGCCCCTTCCCACAGGAAGTGGCTCAAACACTGGCTCAGCAGCAGCCAGGACCTGTTAGCTCTGACAAGCCGAGGTTTGTTTTTAGCATAAGGAAGGCTCTGATTTAAAACTTGGCCCCTGAACGTCAGCAAACGCAGGAAAGATGACGGAGATCCAGCAGTAGCTGTGAGCACCAGGCACTTCACTTTGGGTGGAGCATTGTGAATAGAGGCTTAAGCCAAAAGTAATATTTCCTCATTTTCTTTCTATAATCTGAAAGTGTTTTAGTTGTTAAATCATCTTCCTGCCTTCAAAACAAACAGCTTTAAACATAAAGAGCTGGCAAGACGCTCCCTAAAGATGAGATGTTAGCAAACTGAAGACAAGCAGTCAAGAGCTGAGGAGATGCCAATGACAGGCTGGACCTGTTCTCTATCACCAAGCCAGCATCCCCATGTGCTCCCTGCCCAAACACAGCATGGCACACACTCACACTCCATCTTTCCAGCAACACACACACACACCTCCCCCACCCCATCCCAGGGAGCTCATTAACAGCGTGCTAATTTGCTTAGCTGCACAGGGGAAATGAAAATCCAGTGAGAGCAGAAGCAGCATCCCAGTGCCCACCAGCACACGTAACCTCTGACTCCCTCTGTGCAAGGAGGCTGCACCAGAGAGATGGGAGCTGGCAGCATGGAATTCCAGGCAGTTGGAATGATGGCAACACATGGAGGTGATGCCAGGGCAGCCCATGAGTGAGGCTGAGTGCTGGTGGCAGGCTGATGGCCCCACAGATGACATGGGAGGAACAGGAAGCATCACCTTATACCTGTTCACTTAAGGCAGCTCTGTCACTGCTCTAGGTTAGAAACAAGAGGGGCATGTGATGTGCACAAGCACTGGAGGTGCTCCTGTGACAGGGCTCTGAGCACATTGCATGGGTGCCTCTCCTCCAGCTCAGCACCGAGCTTCCACCTTCCTTTTCACACCCTGCCCTTTAAATTTAATTACTCCACACCTCGTTAAAATGCTAAAGGTTCAGCCTCTGGCTGTAGCTGAGAGCAAACCCCGCCTGTATCCTGACAGTTGTGCTCCCAATTCAGAGAGTCTCAGATTAATCCTGGCCGTGCCCTGAGCCCCGGCACGTTGGCACAGCATCTGTGCTGGCCCGTAAATAGCCCAGCTGCGGTCGTGCAGAATGGCACGGAGCGCAGCGCCACGGCCACCGCCACTGCAGGCAGGCAGGGAGAGACCTGCAGGGCTCATCCAGCCCAGCCTTTTGTTGTGAAAATATTTATCCACATCTATCAGACCCAAGGCTTGGGAAGGCAGCGAGCACAGGCTGCCTGGCACAACACAGCCCCAAAGGCAGCCAGGCAGACGGGAAGGAGAATGTGCTCCAGCTTGGTTTGGGGAGTCCAGCTACTCCTGTCCAGGCTGGGGGTGCAGAGCCCAGCTCTGCTCCCCTCTGAGGGGCTGCTGTAGGCCCAGGGCAGGCAAAGCCCTCCCCACTGCTGGGAATTCAGAAGGCTCAACCCTCCCCCCCCAGAGATGGGGCATCTATGGGTCTCCTTCCCCACCTGCAGATGGGGCACCTCCAGCTATCCAAGGGCTTTCCCCAAGCCAAGCCACCTGTCCTCAGGGCGTGCAACATGACAGAGGGGGCAGGATCCCCCATTCCTGCTACAGCTGGACACACCCGAAGGGAAGAGCTGGCTCCTCTCCCAGGGAGCTGAGTGCCCTGGCTGTACAGGAATTTGGACACTGCCCTTCGCAGGGAGCCTCCCTTGGGTGTCTGTGTGAAGAAGAGCAGGAGCTGGGATGCATGGGGAGAGCCAGGCACGTCTGGACATGTCCACCCAGCAGGGATACAGAGGGGACAGGCAAGGCAGGGACAGTCAGAGCCACAGGTTTGCTCAGAGGATGGATCTCAGGAGCTCTGCATGAACTCTGTGCCTGGCACAGGGTCTGGGGGCTGCCTACACTGGGGGTCAGGGAGACTGAGCACCCCAAGGAGCTGACAGGAATCCTGGCACACCAGTTTGGGGAAGGAAGGACTGGGGGGGTTGGTTCTGCTCACAGCAGGCTGGGAGGAGGCACAGGGGCAGCAAGGGCACAGGGCTCCTGTATTTTTCCACATCTTCACAGCACATTGGCAAAGCTGGGTCTGACAAGCAGCCAAGGGAGCAAAGGGAAGGAGGGAGGGAGCATTTTGGAGATGTCACCATCACAATCATCGACTGTGACAGAAGAAGGTGACCCCTGACAGCCCCGTGATGCTGCTGAGGGACCCCAGGGGAAAATGGAGGTATCAGCCCAGGCTACAGGCATTAGTGCTTCCAGAGCTGTTCCCATAGAGCCAGTAATGGGGGGGACACCAGTCCTAAAGCTGTGAGGGCTTGAGCCATAACAGGCTGCAGCCTTGGGGTGCTCAGAGATGGGACAGTACATTGGGCAGAGAGGGGGAGATGTCCCCTTGGTGCGACTGGGGCACAGGCTGCGAAGGTCCCCAAGGGGATGTGTTTGGGCTGTGGCAAAGGCCAGGGTAGCAGATGGAGCCCCAGGATTTGGAGTCAGTGCTGACCAGGGGTCCAGCACACAGAGATGTCCATCAAGGGTTAGGTTTGAGCCTGGAAGTGGCAAGAGGGCCCTTCAGGGCTGGGGATGGGACTGCAGAGCACATGGAAGGACCCCACTGGCACTGCTGCAAGACATGGGTGGGGCTTAGGGAATGGTTTCCTGGGAGAGTCGTACAGGAGAGTGGAGGGAATGCACAGCATGGGGGGATAGAGTCCAGAACAAGGGTCCCTCAGGTGTATTCAGGTTGAGTGGCAGCAGAGACCCTGCGGGGAGCCCTGCAGGGACAGGACAGAGATGGGAGCAAGCCTAGAGCAGATACCCCAGAGAGGACACCAAGATTGCAGGGGTGATGGGGGCTCAGGGGCACAGCAGGGACAGCCCAGGTGTGGTTACACTGGAAATGCAGTGAGTCAAGGTGGGAGGAAGGGCATTGTGAGAGCTGGGGGGAGCTTTGGGTGCTGTTAATCACAGGCAATGCCCAGGAAAGATTTGAGCATTCGGGTGATGGGTAGCAAGCAGGGCAGCAGCAGTGCCTGAGGTGTGGGTACTGTGGAAGGGTGTCCATGAAGAAAAGAGACAAAACCAGGATGTCCTGCATGGGGCATCCCAGCAGCCACCTGCTCCGGGGGTGTAACCTGGGAGTGGGGCAGGAAGATCTGGGTGTGGGGGTCACTGAGGGCAGCAGGGAGGCGGCAGATCCAGGTGCTCAGGGGTGGGGATGGGTGACACGGGTGCCAGGGACAGGGCCCCCAGAGGCCCTGGGCGGGTGAGGCGGCCCGGGAGGGCGCTGGGGCCGAGCCGGGGCTGCCGGTACCTTTGAGGGAGGTCTCGACGAGGCGCAGGTAGAGCTGGCTGCGCTTGTTGCCGTGGCTCATGCGCTGCCCCAGGCCGTGCCGCTGCAGGACGCACTCCTCGAAGCGCACCACGTTGGGGTGCTGCCGCCGGAGGCTCGTCAGGGCCCAGAACTCGGCCAGCGCCAGCTCCACGTTCTCGGGAGCGTCGCAGCGGATCCGCTTCACCGCCAGCCGGGCGCCGCTGCGGCCCGACACCGCCTCGTACACCACGCCGTAGGCGCCGCGGCCGATCTCGGCCAGCAGGCTGTACCGCGGGCTGCCGCCGCCGCCGATGCCCGGCCCCGCCGCCACCGCCGCCGCCATGGCCCCGCGCCGCGTCGCCCGCCGCCGCCGCCCCATCCTTTGTGTCCCGCGGCGGCCGCCGTCCATGGCCCCCCCCCGCCCCGCGTGCCGGGCAGCGCCGCGCGGGCGAGGGGGCACGCGCCGATGCCGCCGCCGCGCCGCGGGGCGGAAAAGCGCGCGCTGCCGGCCCCTTTAAGCGCTCGGCCAATCGCGGCCGCGCGGGGCGAACCACCGCGGCGCCGGGGGGGGGCGGCGGCCGCCGCGACGGGGCTCGGCCTCTCCCCGGTGCCGGCCCCGTACTCGGAAAGAGAGGTCCGGGTTTGCCGCCCCGGGCGCGGTAACCGGGTCGCGGCGCCGCCAGCGCGGCTCGGCGCGGCCGGGAGTCAGCGCGGCGGCAGGCCCCTCCCGCTCCCCCGCCACGGTGGTACGCGCCGCGCCGGTGTAAACAGGCCGGTCATGGGGGCCCCGGCGTCCGCCGCGGGTCTCCCCCGTCCGTCCCTTCCCTCCGGGCCTGGCCCGCGGGAGGCGCTGCGGGCTCGGGCCCGGCCCGCGGGGCTCACCTGGGGAGCGGCGGCGGCGGCTCCGGGCTGGGCGCTGCGCGGGGCGTGTGAATGGGCGGGGTGGGGGAGCGGCGGCAGCGGCGGCGGTGGGATAAGAGCGTGGCCGCACGCCCTGACGTAACCCCTTATGTAACGGCGGGGGGTGACCCGCCCCCAGCAGCCCCCTCCCCCCGCCCCGGGACGGGCGGCGCACCGGGGGGGCGGGATGCCCCGGGATGGGTTGGGGGAGCGGTGCACCGGCGGTACAGGGGTGCACCGGGGAGGGCTGCGTGTGATGCCGCCGGGGGTGGGGGGTGATGCTCCGGGACACGGTGCACCGGGGAGGGGGGCGGTGCACACGTTGTGGGTGATGACCCGGCGGGGAGGTGATTCCCCGGGGATGGGGTGGTGCCCGGGACCCAATAAATCCTCGGCACCCGGTAAATCCCGGGACGCGCTGAGCCGGTGGTAGCAGCGCGGTGCTGGATGCCCGGCGAGCTGGCGCTGTGCAGCCGCACCGGGAAGGGGGGCATGAGGCTCGGGGCCGGTTTCACAGCTCCGGCAGCATTCGGGGACCCTCCCGTGCGCCATGCTCACCCCGAGGGTTCGACCCCATTGCCGGGAATCACCAGGACTTTCCAACTGGAAATTCCTCGGAAAAGTGGCTGCGATCCCGAGAGGATCCCTGCGGGGCAGGACCGAGGGTTTTGGGGGAACCCCAGGGTGGCGCGGCACCCACCGGGTGTCCGCGTGGTGGAACGGGCACTGGTCACCAAGAGCGGGACACAGTGACCGCCCTACGCCGGGACCCCGAGGGGTGGCGAGGGCCGGGGGAGACCGCGGGGCTGCAGTGTGTCCCCCTAGGATGGCCGTGTCCCCGCGGGGTTGAGTCTTGGCTGTTTTGGTGACATTTCTCCTGCGAGCAGATGGGGTGAACCACAGAGGTCCCTGGCCCAAGCACCGTCCCAAAATTGCTTTTCACTCCCCGGGCCGTGGGCATCGCCAGTATCCGTTCTCTCCGGGCTGCCCGGAGCTCTCATCCTGTTCCTGGCGCTGCTGGCAACCCCAGAGCTCGGGGCTTTGCACGCCGCCGTCCCGCTCCTCGGGAGGAGGAGGGAATATTTGGGGAGGGAATCACGATCCAACCCAAATGTACTTTTCCAGCCGCCTCTCCCGCGTTCTCCTGCCCCCCGCGTGGTGCCGTTGGCAGCGCTCACCGCTGCCGGTCAAAGACAGCGTCTGCAGAGCCGGTTCACGGAGGAGCTCTCAAAATTCCCAGATTTCTTGCCCCGCTGCTGAGCCGTGTGCCGCTGCCATCACGCAGCCCCAGCAGCTCCCGGCTGCGTCACGCCGGTGCCCCCGGGGAAGGGACGGCGACCCGGAGCCACCGGCGACTCTAATGCGGGGCTGCCCCGCGGTGTCACGGCTCCGGCTGCAGCTCCTGCAAGTGCTTTGACCTCAATTTATTTTTAAATGGAGCCACTTCACCTCCCGGGGAGGCTGCGGGGGTCGTGCCGCAGCCCCGCGCCCCCGGTGCCGCTCGTCAGCCCGGAGCGACGGTGGCAGCGGCGTGACTCGCCGTGTTTACGAGAGCGCCGCTTCTCGTACCGCCGTGGAGTGGCACTTGTGCCTCCTGCCCACGCAGGGAGGTCACCGTGTGCCCGCCTGGGCAGCGCTGGCGGCCCCCTGCTCGGTACTCCCTTCGCCGGAGGCTCGCTCCGGTGCGGTCACGCTGGAACGGAGCTGCCGCGGGCGGTTTGGAGCAGAGCAGAAACATGCGTTTCTCCCCGTGTCCCGCAAATGCATCTGGACACTTCGCTCTCCTGCCTACGGCAAGGCCAGGCAGGAGTGCAATCGTGTTGGGAGTTTCTGGAAAAGCCGTGTCCCTGAATGGGATACAGCTGACCGTGCTGGAGGACCCACAGCGCAGCCGCTGCCTTCCTGGGGAAGCTCCCGCCGGAGCTCTGGGTCGCGGTCCCTCTGCCTGGGGACAGCCCCGGCGGCTGGCAGAGCTTGTACCAGCTGCAGGGGCGATTTACCCCACCCCAGGGCATGGGGAAGGGTCCTGGTCTGGAGCAGGGTCCTTCGGGGGGGACCTGGGGGCTCAGGGACAGAGTGGCAGCGCCGTGTGACGCCAGCTGGCATTAACTCCCACCTGCTTCCGCGGGTGCCTGGCACGCTCGGCCCCCTCCTCGCCGAACGCGCCTTTCACTCATGTAGTTAGAAAAGTTAACTTTTCTATTACCGCACATTTCACTTACCCAGGTACTTAATTACCATTGTCCCAGGGAAATGTCAGTGTGACTCAGAGACGCTTTCCCATTAGGAAGAGACAGATGAATATTAAGTTGAGTTGCTGGTGGGTGGGCTGGCTTCCAACTCCTCTCCCGGGGGACCCTGTCACCCTCCACGCCCTGGACCCGTGGAGGACCCTGTTACCCAGCTCAGTAGATCGGTGGCACTTCGCTCTGGGGACAGGAGTAATTCGACCTCCCACCCGGAGCAAAGGGAAGGAGCCTTATTCCAAACGACTTTTCCCTCTGCGTCCTGGGGATTTGTTCAATCTCTAACACATCTCCCTCGTGTGCAATTACCCTGTGCGGGGAGGTGACTGCACCCCAGGCCGCTGGGTGAATATATACGTATACAAATATTCATATAAAAAGAATGGCTTTGGTGTAGAAATGCTCCGCCCCGCCGTGTCTGTGGTACCCGCACGGCTATCAGTTCCAGCAGCAAGGGTTAAACTGCCCGAGGGCTGCTCAGCCCCTCGCCCAGAGTGTTGTGGTCGTTTGCAGATGCGTTTTGTTCTTCTCAGCTTTGTTCTGTGCCTGCACAGCCCAGCACACCCCGACACAGCGAGGCGGGGCCGTGGCCGCCCTCTGCCCCTGCGGGGCCTGAGCTCCATCCGCCCTCGCTGCAGCCCCAGGGATGGAGGGGTGGGTTCCTCCCTTAGCCCTGAGGAGGATGCGGGGTCTGCCCTGCTACCTTGGTCCCTCCGTGTTGGCACAGCCCCAGCCTGGAGGAGTTAAAATCCACCTCCAGACAAAAGCCGTGGGGTCTCGCCTGCTTTTCAAGGAGCGGGGGGATGCCGATGGACCCGATCACCAGTCCTGACAGAGAACCACGGGCAGAGGCTGCCGTGGCTGCTGGGCGCCCAGCAGAGGGTCCCAGCTCTGTCGATAGCCCCCACTTCCCTCAGCAGTGCTGGGACGGCTGAGCAAGGGGGCACCAGGTCCAGCAGCTGGTGTTCGAGCTGGGAGAACAGCAGGTTGCTGGGAAACATCCCTCTTGAGCTCCGATAAAAATAGCTCCATCTTCAAGGCGAGAGGACTGGCTGCACTGCCAGCGACGCAGGGGATGTGTCTGCACCCACTGGGGTGTGGGGGCCGGTGCAGGATGTCCTGTGGCGTCTGCACCTCGGACCCCTGTCCCACACGTCTGTTGTGACATGGTGCAGTGGGACAGAAGTGCAGGGGCTCAGGGATTGCCTGTCATTGCCCCAGTGCTGTTCTCCTTTCTCCCCAGATCAGACTTGGAAATGTGTGAGAATAGGAATCAGGGCTGAGTGGGGAAAGTGGGGGTGTCTTTTTCCCCCCAGCCAGCTCCCTCTGCCTCTTTGGCTCATCTCAGTGTTTGCCCTAATGAGGAGGGGGTTCAGGGAGACGTGGAACTGAGCTCTGAGCCCTGGCATTGCAGAGGTTGGGGGGGTTTCTATGCAAAGGCTTTTTCACTGACAGCAGCTAGGCTGGGTGGGTTGGGACATCCCTTTCCCGGGGCATGAAGACCCTCTCTCCCTTCCCAGCAGCTCTGGATGGGCTCACTTGAGGACAGTGCCTCTCCCCAGCCTGGGGAGCAGGGTGAGAGCAGGTCAGGGATTCACCTTTCCCCCTCCACCCTTCTTGGACATGCTTTGAATTCAATGTCCAGGGGATTCACACCCCCAGCAGCCAATCCCCTCTGGGATGCAGCTGTGCGGGAAGACGGACAGACCCCATCCCGGTCCTCTGCCACCTTCCTTGTTCGGGGCAGGCGTTTCGGCCCCGAGGACCGAGGCAGGACACGCCGGATGTCTCCGAGCGCTGCAGCCGCAGCGCTGGGATGCGCACCCCGATTCCCGGAGCGGCCGGGGGCTGCGGGGAGGCCTCGGCGGTGCGGGCGAGCCTGCTCGGGAGGTGGCGGGGATGCTGCGGGGCTGATTATTCACAGCTTCCCTCGCCCCGATTGGCTCTGCCGCCGCGCACAGCCGGGCCCCGCCGCAGGAGGAGACTCCGTGGCCATAAAAGCGGGGTGAGAGGCAGCCGGCGGCGAGTCCGGTGGGCAACCCGGGCAGCACCGTGGGGCCGCCTGCCAGTGTGGCCTTGCCACCGATGACTGGCGCAGCCTGACGCCCGTGGAGGGACAGCCACCAGCCACGAGCCGTCCTGACTTGGCGAAGCGGGTGCTCGGCGGGACAGGGAGCAGCGGCAGGTAGGGCTGCCGGGGTTGTCATCCCCCTTCCATTGCGTGGGCACAATCAGGGCATCGCTCTTGCTCCCCCCAAAAAAGCAACAGTTTAAGAACGCCCTGAGCAGCACTGCTGAGAGTGGCTTGTGGTTGGAGTTGTGTTATTTCGGGGAGCTTCCACACGGCTGCAGGTCCCTCTCGTCCCTTGAGTGGTTTCAGAGCCCGTGAGCAGCTGTCCGGAGCTCTGCTGGGGTTCATTTCATTTTTATGCTGTGCCCGGCGTCCTGGCAGCAGAATCACCCAGGGCTTGGAGGGGCAAAGGGAGTGGGCAGAGAGGATGGGGGTTCTCTCTCCCCCTTCTTGGCTCGAGCAGCAGTGTGGCTGCAGTGCTCGAGTGATTCTATTCCAAAAGTTACCAGCTTTTTTGAGAAGCCTTGTTCTGATGGTGTTTCCAGGAAATTTTTGGAGGTGAGGAAAGGAGATGTTGGAAGGTTGATTGTTCTTCTCCACCAGAACTATGTGCAGGATCCAAACCTGTGGAGTTGGACCTGTGTGGGAGGAGAGATCTGCTCAGTCTGGGAGAGCTGTTCACATCCTTTGTTAGCTATAATCACAGGTTAGTCAGGATGGGGCCAGTCTCTGCTGTCCAGCACACACAAGGGATTCCTCACACCTCCTTGGGTCACCAGGTCTGTAATTGGCCCCTGGGGTGCATGGATGCTGCTTGGGGGTTTTCCAAAGCAAAGCCTGGTATTTGAAGACTCAAGTGGAAATGGGATGGGAGGAAGGGACACCGGCAGGCACCTGGCACAGGTAGGATGTGCTGAGAGTGGCCACAGAGGCTGGGACTCAATGCTGGCATTGCCAGACCCCGCCGCAATCCTTCCAAGGTGTTCCTGCAGGAGGGATGGCTCCGGAGCCTTGGGCTCTTCCAGGTAACACAGGATTGAGCTCGAACTCTGCTTTTCTTCTTCCTCCCTTTGTGTTCTTTTTGCTTTTTCCTCCCCGCTGCTTCTTTCCTCTTTTGTCCAAAGCCCTTTGTTTTCTTCCCCTTTTCCTGCTCCCATTTTGCCAGTCCCTCTTACCCCAGCTTCAGGAGCAGGCAGAGCACTGCTGGGACATTTGTGGCACCACCTGGACACACAGTATGTTTGCGTCCTTGGCCATGCTGTGCTCGGAGAACTGCAGCTCCCCTGAGTGCCATGAAATCCTCTGTCTGCAGCAGGGTGCCAGGGATGGGACACACCGTGTCTGGAATGCCAGAGGTCTGAACTGTGCAGTGTCAGACAAACCAGCAGCTGTTCCCAGCACGGGAACGTTCCCGGTGCCGTCCCTGTGTGCTGCTCTGGCAGCACCCACGGGGATAGCGGCAGCGGAGGAGCAAGGGAGGGGAGCGGGTGGGGAAAGGGAAAGAAAAGGTTCCCGGCGGGGCCCCTGCGAAGCAGTTATCAGCTTTTTTTTGGTGCTTCATTCCCCATAGAGCTGCAGCTGACACCTACCTGTGCGGCGGGCATGTCCTCGCTCCTCGGTGCGGTCTCGGTGGCCCTGATGCAATTAAGGGACTGTCCCCGTGTCTGAGAGTCGAGGCTGGCTGAGGTCCCACTGTGCCCCTGCCATCCTGGGCAGCTGCCACGCTATTCCCTGCCACACTGCCAGGGCACTGGGAGGATTCACGGAGCTGGTGGCTGTGCAGCCAAGGAATGCAGACAGCTCGACACACGATGGTGCAGATAATTTAAATTAAATTTTAATCTAGCATGAATTAATACTGTGGCATTAACAATTCTTCATCAGTACCAATTACAGTACATTAGCTGCTACTGCTGGAGAGCACAATAGTCTCTAATATGCGTCATTAATGTGTAACAGATCCCTCTGGGTCATGCCTTACCCACCCTAGATAAAAGCAGCAATGGAAGCAGGCAGGGGTTTGCAGCCAGTGCACCCCTTTGGGGCTGGCTCTTACTCCAGGGCTATCATGGTCCCAGTGGCACAGTGATCCTGTGGCACTGCAGGTGGGGTTGGCAGTGGCCCCTCCAGCCTCACCCAGGGTCAGGTTTAGCACTGCCACCTGCAGAGCCCCTCTCCCAGCTGAGCACAGTGTCCTTGTCCATCCACAGAGGCCAGAGGCTCCATCACGGCTCTCAAACTGGAGGATGGTGATGGTGGTCTGCAGGTAGGCTGGAACCCAGAGTCCTCCTTTTTCCCCTTCTCCTGATGCACCTGCCCAGCAGACTTGGTGGGTGTGAGGGAGGGGACATGAGGCTGCCCTGGTGTGGGGAACAGCAGCCTGGGGTGAGTCCACATGGGGCCATGGCATCACCCCATCCACCTGCCACCGCAGCTCCGTTTGCTGGGGCTCTTTTCCCCAGGGCCAAGGGGAAGAGCTGGTGATTCATCTGCCTGCGCCATGCAGACGTGGCAATCACAGAGAAACCCAGTGCTGGGGAAAAAAAGGGACTTTTCTTTCTAATGGTATGGTAAGAGATGAAGAGGAACCGAGAAGAACTGAAATGAGATGAGATTGAGATGAGATGAGATGAGTTAAGATGAGATGCAACAGTGGTCCTGCCCACAGTGACTTGGTGGCCACCAGGGACTGGCAATGGCTCTGGGCTTGTGCCAAGGACCAGGCTGCAGCCAGGGTAAGGGCTCACATCTTGTGGTGTCCTTGCTGGGAGCAGCACCTGGAGGTGAGTCATGTGGGAACGGGCACAGGCACAGGTCCCTGTGTATGACCCCAGGAGCAGCTCACAGATGGAGGTGGTAGGTGCCCAGTGCCTCTGGAGTGGTGATGGCTCCCCAGAGCTGGCACAGGGATGGTGACAGGCTCTGTGCTGTCTTCTCTCCAGGCAGCGTCTGCAGGGCGAGATGGCACGGCGGGCACTGGCACTGGCACTCTGCCTGTCCCTGTCTGCGGTGGCATCTGCCAACTGTGTCACCCAGTGCTCCCTCTGCGCAGCCCAGACCCGCGGTGCCGAGAGCAGCGTCCAGCCCCTGGTGAGTGCTGGCCCAGGGACGTGAGCCAGCAGTGGAGTGTCACGGGTGCAGGGTGGCAGAGCTGGGTGGCACCTGGTGTGCTGGTCATGGGCGCCCCAGGGTGCTGGGGTTGTGCAAGCTTCAGCTTCTCACTGAGCTGAGCAGCACGGTGGGCACGGACCCCTGGGCTCGGGGTGGGGTGGGAGGAAGGCAGGGGCTCACCCCGAGCACCTGTGGCCGCTGTTTTACAGATGTGCCTGTGGGAATGCCAGGGCTCCTTGTCACCCGGCCCCGAGTGGGAGATGTGCAGGAAGGCGCTGGCACTCCTGGCCCCACTAGTGGCCCTGGCCGAGGGGACAGAGCCGTCCCCACAGGAGGCAGAAGAGGATGAGGCACAGCTGGAGCAGGCTCTGGGCGCTGCAGAGCTGCCGCCGGCGCCGGCCAAGCGCTATGGGGGCTTCATGAAGATGATGTCCAAGGCAAAGCTGCTGTCCCTGCTCCGCGAGAACGCTCACGCCAAGGGCGGCCTCAGCAAGAAGTCTGGGGGCTTCAGCCGCAAGCCGGGCGAGCGAGCGGCCCCCGAGGACTACCCGGGGCCGGCAGGGGACGGGGATGGGGACGAGGAGCCCACGGGGGCCGAGGGGCCGGAGCTGCACAAGCGCTATGGGGGCTTCCTGCGCCGCATCCGGCCCAAGCTCAAGTGGGACAATCAGAAGCGCTACGGGGGCTTCCTGCGGAGGCAGTTCAAGGTGACCACGAGGTCGGACGAGGACCCCAGTGCCTACTCAGGGGAGGTCTCAGACCTATAGAGCCGGGCGTGGCACGGCAGTACCGCGGTCCCCACACTGCCACTGCCACCCCGACTGTGCCATCGCCCCCAGCCCTGTCCCCTGCCCGGCCCAGTGTGGCTGGTGCCACCCTTGCCTCATTCGCTCAGGGGACCGTGAATTCCATCCCATTGTCCTTCTCTGGTTCACCTGCCCTTCCTGTGTGCGGAGGGCACAGTGCCACTCCTCCGGCTGCTGGTGGTGTGGCTGTGGCCCAGCCCAGGGTTCCTGGGGTGTATTGCTGGGGACACAGATCCTCCATCCTCCCGTGGCTGCCAGAGCACAGCAGGGTCTGCAAACCACCAGAGCTGACGTACAGGGCAGGGGGCTCGGAGCACTGGGAAGGATGAACCAGGGCAGGATCGGGGAGGTGGCTGCCATGGCCATAGGCAGAGGTGGCTGGTGGAACCACAGCACCATCACCAGGTGTTCAAGCACTGCTGAGCCCTCACTCCCCTCCCCGAGCCTCTCACAGTGTCCCACCGATCCCAGCACCCACCCAGAGCCCCTGGGCTCCCCCTCCAAGAGCGACTCCAGAGGCAGGGTCAGCCCCAAGCCCCAACACCCACCTCCCCCCCGCAGTCAATAAAAGGCAGATGCCAACGAAGCTGAAGCCATGCTGGGTGCTGAGTGTGCTCTGCAGGGCAGAGCAAGCACCCCAAACTGGGGTGCCCAAATGGGGCCAGGGGGCAGGCAGCACATGGGCTTCCTAGGCCATGGGTGCCAAAAGGAATGTGGGACCCCCACACACCTCTGGAGCCATATCCTGAGAGTGACAGGGCCATCTCAGCTGAGCAAGTGCAGGGCAGGCATGCTCAGCCTGCTGCAGGGGCGTGTAGGGTGCTGGCAAGGTACCTCCTGCAGCAGCAGGCAGGAGAGGCTCCCTTGGGAATCACCACTGCTGCCCAGCTGGGAAGGGGCAGTTGTGCTGAGGGCAGGGGGCAAACTTCCCCTTTTCTGCTCGTATGGGACCCCTCCAGCAGCAGCTCAGAGCTGAGGAAGCCCAACCTGCAACTTCCCTTTTGAGTGTCTGTGTAGCCCCACATGGCAGTTCCTGGCTCTGGTGAGACACAGTTCATGCCCCAGACACAGCCCAGGCACCAGCTCCAGGTTGGGAAAGGGAGGAGGTCACTGCAGAGCACTGAATACTCAGCTCACTCACAGCACAGGCTGGAGCCAGCACCCAGCCTGCCTGCACACCAGTCTGGGCACCCCAGCTCAACTCCCTGCCCATGGGGTGCACTGCTACCCTCCCTCACAGTGCCCAGGGGAACCAGCACCATAACCCTCATCCCAGCCTTGGCCTCCTGCCTTCCTCTTCCCTCCCTCCAGCACACACAACAGGGCTGTGCAGGATGAGCCCTCCTCTCCTCCTTCCTGCAGGACACACAGAACCCCAAACCCACCCTGCAGCCCCAGTGCCAAGGTGACCCCCCCTGAGCACAGGGACACGCTGATGTGCGGGAGCAGCACAGGACTTTTCACTTTTATTATAAAAATATCTTGCAAGCAAAAAGGAAAAAAAAAAACAAACAAAAAAAAAATCTGTACAAGCAGTCACATTGCTCCCAAAGCACCCCCAAGGACCCCAGGTGTCCTCAAGCCCCCTGCACTTCCACTGCTGCAGACACCAACAGAGGGTCAGACTCCACACAGTGGGCCAGGAAGGGGGCACAGGGAAGACATTTGTCCCCATGGGTGGGCTGGGGGGAGCCTGCCTGGCCCCCAAGACAGATCTGGGGTGGGGGGAGCATATAAGTCTCTTATAAACTCTGTAGGGTTTGGGGGATTCTTTACTGAGGCCTCAGTCTTAATTTTGCACATCTTATTCTAGTGTTAAGTACACAGCAGTACACCCACGTACAACACAAAACATTGGGGGTTTCAGCTCTAAAAATTAACAGTTACATGTCAAACAGTCAAAACATGTTACACGGTACCTGCGGGGAGCTCCCGGGGGGGCCCTCGCACGCTTTGTACAAGCCTGGGGCAGCGCTGGTGGGTCCCAGGGCAGGGCAAGGCTGAGCACAGGAAGGTGATGATGATGATGAGGAGGATGCTTGGTGCTGAGGAGCCAGACCTGGAGCTCCCCTGGACGGCAGGGCAGGGGCCTTGGCTCATTGGCCTTCCAGCCTCTTGGCCTTGTGGCGAGACAGAGGTCCCGCAGAAGGGACACTTGGGAAGAGAGGCGGACACTTGGGTCCTTCCTTTAAAGCCAGAGTTTGGTGTCCAGGCGTGGTGGCAGAGCCCCAGAAGGCAGTGTGGGGGCCCTGCTGGTCCTGGGGAGCCGTGGGCCAGGCAGTGGCATCCCCATGAGAGCTGGTGTGGAGGCACTGTACCTGTCCCCTCAGCCCAGCTGGAGCTTCCCAAGGAGCTGCTGCTCCGCTGGCTGAATCTGCTCACGGGCAAACCCGGCACACTGAGGTTGAGCAACCCTTCATGGGGGTCCTGAAGGGATGGAGCTGGCGGCCCCAGGACCAAACTGCCCCCAAAAATCATGTCTCTCTGGATGGGAGAAGACCCCCACAAGTACTGTGGGCTCCATTTCCATCCTAAAACACAGGTACCGCAGCGCATCCTCACATCGCTCCCGCTGCTTCCAAGAGAACAGTCTTAGGGAGGAGCAGAGCTGTTCCCAGCAGGACACGGGGTCCCAGCAGCCACTGCTCACTTCCTGGTGATCTGGACGCTGGCATACTCAGAGCCAGCCTCCTCGGGGCGCGGGGCCGGCCGCTTGGGCGCCTTGCTGAGGTGCACCATGTCCAGGTCGGCGTAGGTGAGGTTGTCGTCGCCGTTGGGCGCCTGGTTGCTCTGGATGCAGGCGTACTCCGACTGCTGGCTCATCTCCACCATCCGCCGGATGCTCTTCCTCTCCTTGTCGAAGTTCAGGTCCGCGTAGGTCAGGTTGTTGGGGTCGGATTCCTGTGTGAGGCACCAAGAGTTCCTCCTCTGGGAAGATGCCCCTGGACCCACAGCCCTGTTCTGGAGTCAATCCCACTGCAGCTTGGCCTGGGGCACCTCAACCTTGCTTGTATGGGGGAACAATGCCAGTAGCCACCACCCTGAAGCTATGCTCTACCCCATGCTATAGCTTCACATTGTGAGCCACCCTGTCACCCTGCTCTGGCTTCAAAACCATTGCCACAATTCCAGAGCTGTCACTGGAGCCACTCCATCCCAGCAAGGCCAGACTGCCCAGTGAGGCCCACGCAGGAGCTGGCAGCGCCTGGGTGGGATGGACAGATTGCTGCTGATCACGACTTCGCTCGTAGCTGCGTCACCAAATGCAAAATAACTCCACAAATAGCCTGGCTGGCTATCGCACAGCTGGTTCCCCAGGCAGCACCAACCCAGACTTTACTGGGAGGAGAAGGAGAAGGAGGAGGAGAGAGGGTGAAGGCAGAAAAGATTCTGGGAAGTGGCTATCCTCTTCCTGGGGCAGCCTCTCTTCCACCTCCAGCCACAGAGTGGAGACACTGAGATGTTTCACTGAGAACCACCACCCTCCACTCCCCTCTTCAGTGGCTCCCAGCCACTTTCCCTCCCCAGTCCCAGGATGACCCACCTGGGTTGTGGCCTCGCTGCTCTTCTCTGGCTCATGTAACCTGGAAGGAGGGACAAAAACAGTCAGATGGATGGAGGGTCCTGTTGCCCTTTCCCTGGTGATGGAGCAGCTGGGGAGGTCAGATGCAAGCTGAGGTCCTTGCAGCTGCACCCAGCAAGACAGGTCCTGAGCATTGGCTTGTGCTGGTCCAGCTGCCTCTCTGCTGGCCAGAGACCAACTCCCAACAGCCTGCTCAGTGCCACCACAAGCAAAAAATCCCCAGAACCCCAGCTGGGGAGATGGGCAGAGACTCTGTTCCTGCCTTCTCTTTCACAAATTTTGGGGATACAGCTCTGTCCCAGTCCTGAGGGACTCTGTGGACTGGAGGTGTCTAGCTCAGAGTTCCCACAGGTTACTCAGTGACTAGAAGAGATTTGCACTCACCTGGCAGATGGTGAGCTTTTACCTGCTGAAAGAGAAGGAAAAAATTAGGAAAAAAATTAGGGAAAAAATAATTCAGGAAACAAGATAAACGCCCCATTTCCCTGGGCACAGAGATCACATGCAGAGACTGCTTCAAGGACAAGGATACATCTTTTCCCAGAGGCAAGTGCTTGCAATTCCCTGGAGTTTCAATCAATTTTGTTCAGGACTGCTCCTGGGGGAGCACAGGAGGTGCAGGGCAGAATTTAGACCAGCCAGAGCTTTCCCTGCAGCCTGCAAACAACCTGGGCAGCTCTATCCATCACCCCACCGGGCAGGACCTGCAGCTGCACTGCCAGGAGTTACTGTCCAATGGGGCAATGTGAAACCCATGGGAAAGAGAGGAAAAAGGGGGTTGGGAGTAGCTGCCTCCCTGCCCCACACTTGGCTCCCTTACCCTTGATCTGCTTGGTCCGGATCAGGTATAGAATCGCAGCCACCAGCAGGGCCAGCACGATGCAGACCACACCCACCACAATGTAGATGAGCATATCATCTGAAACATCAATGAAAAGGTCACCATGGCCAGGAACGCGGTACCTCCCACTCCCTGCAGCCTCACAACTGGGACTGGCCCAGTGATGGATGAAGCACCAAGGAGGACAGCTCAGTGCCTGCCACTGTCACATCCCCCAGCCCCCTGATATGGAGATTTGGTCCTTCAACCAGATTTTAACTGGGGCTTTGAGCTTCCTCAGGGGGTGACACCACACAGCCGCCCGGGCAGGCACCCGATCCCCACAGCTCTGACGCACCCTTATTCATCTGGAACTCATTGCTCAATCCCCCTAGGTTCGGGTCAGAGATCCACAGGACGGTTGAATAGTTGGCAGGGGCCTGGGCATCGTGCACCACCGTGCAGGTGATCGTGGACCCATTTTTCTCCTCCGTTGCTTGCACCTCCACCCGGCTTCTCAGCTCAAACAAGCCCTGGGGCAGCTCCAGTGGCTGTGAGAGGTTCTGCCCCTTTATCTCAATCCCATTCTCCAGCCAGGAAACAGACACTTGAGCTGGGTAAAACTCCTTCACGAGGCAGATGAAGGCCACGGTCTTGTTCACCTCAACGGGGCTCGGCTCAGCGCGCACTTCAACGCTGGGGGGAACTGAGAAGAGAGGCAGAGCTCGGTGTTTGCTGTGCCTGGCTCTGCTGCCCACAGGGCGCCCTGTCCTCCTCCCAGGGACCCCAGCCCCACAGAGCAGGACCCCCATGCAAGCCCCCAGCCCTCACCTCGCAGGACACTGCTGAGCTGGAAGCTCCCTCGCAGCGGGGCCGGCAGCGTGGAGTGCGCCACCTCACAGGTGAGCTGCGAGCGGGCATCGTCCCTCTGCAGGGTCACCTTCACTGTGCTGGACATGTTGTAGGTTTTCATCTTCCACTCAGTGACCTGGGGTGGCTGAACCCCCATGGGGTTGTTGTTCTTGAACCATTTCACCTCAATCTTATCAGGAAGGAACCCTCCAGTCGTGCAGGTGAAAGGCACCGACTCCTCCGGCCTCGCTCTCTGCTCAGGCCCAGACACGAGCGGGGGGCTGGGTTTGGCTGTGGGGACAAGCACGGGGCCATCAGACCCAGGCCCTGCCCTCTG